AGTGGTCCACATTGTATCAAGTGATAAACATTGTATCAAATGGTACACATTGTATCAAATGGTACACATTGTATCATATGGTACACATTGTATCAAGTGGTACACATTGTATCAAATGGTACACATTGTATCAAGTGGTACACGTTGTACTAAGTGGTACACATAGTATCAAGTGGTACACATTGTATCATATGGTACACATTGTATCATATGGTACACATTGTATCAAGTGGTACACATAGTATCATATGGTACACATTGTATCAAGTGGTACACATTGTATCAAATGGTACACATTGTATCAAGTGGTACACATTGTATCAAGTGGTACACATTGTATCAAGTGGTACAAATTGTATCAACTAGTACACATTGTATCAAGTGGTACACATTGTATACAGTCGTCACATTGTATCATATGGTACACATTGTATCAAATGGTACACATTGTATCAAGTGGTACACATTGTATCATATGGTACACATTTTATCCAGTGGTACACATTGTATCAAATGGTACACATTGTATCTTATGGTACACATTGTATCATATGGTACACATCTATCCAGTGGTACACATTGTATCAAATGGTACACATTGTATCTTATGGTACACATTGTATCTTATGGTACACATTGTATTTTATGGTACACATTGTATTTTATGGTACACATTGTATCTTATGGTACACATTGTATCTTATGGTACACATTGTATCATATGGTACACATTGTATCAAGTGGTACACATTGTATCAAATGGTACACATTGTATCAAGTTGTACACATTGTATCAACTGGTGCACATTGTATCATGTGGTACACTTTGTATCATTTGGTACACATTGTATCATATGCAGGGGCGTTGCGAAGGGGGGGGGCGGGGGATGCAGACCGCACCGGGTGACACCATTTAGGGGGTGACACCAAGGCAAAAAATAGCAAAATATATAGAGAAAAACTTGAGGGGGGTGCAAATCGAAAGTTTGAGGGGGGCGGTGCAAATCGAAAACTTGAGGGGGGGGGTGCAAATCGAAAGTTTGAGGGGGGGGGTGCAAATCGAAAACTTGAGGGGGGGTGCAAATCGAAAGTTTGGGGGGGGGGGTGCAAATCGAAAACTTAAGTGGGGGTGCAAATCGAAAGTTTGAGGGGGGGGGGGTGCAAATCGAAAACTTGAAAGTTTGTCCCCGGGAAGGGTCGCAACGCCTCTGGGGGGGGGGGGGTGACACCATTAAGTGCCGCACCGGGTGACACCCGACCTCGCTACGCCACAGATCATATGGTACACATTGTATCAAGTGGTACACATTGTATCATGATGTATATATCAGCGTACACATCGTATCATCGTTGTACACCTTGCATCAACAAATGATATCCATTTATAGTGGAAGCAAATTTGCAAATATATTTGGATTCAAAACGAAAAACCACAATCCTTATCTGTTTATTAAATCATATTTTCTTCAGAAATTTTAGGTAAGATTTAGTGCATAAATGTCAGTTTAAAATGAATTAAAAATTGTTTTGGTATAAATTTGTTTTGGTTGCAGGTCTGAAAATGTGTGCCAAGTCTGCTAGCAAACAACACAGACGACACTAAGACACACAATTAGGCTGGGAATAATTAATTCCATTCCTGTCTAGTGATGTCACGTAGACGCTAATTATTGCCTCGTGGCCTGTGTGACGGCCAACTATGGTCATTGAATCTAATAATTAACATTTCAATCCCGGACGAGAGATCCGCGATTTTAATATATTTCATCAAAGTCTTAATGAATCAAGATGGTGGGAAATTTTACAACCCCCACCCTACCTCACCCCCACCCTCACTGTCCCGCGCTAGACATGTCTTTGTCAAGAGAAACAAAAATCAGACAGATAAAGGGAAATAACTATGGGCAGTTTGACGTCATTTAATCAAAAAGATTAGATCTGCTGTAGAAAGAAGCGCCATGGCTTTAAATAATAAATTCGCAATATCGCTTTACAGGCTAGGGAAGGGGTCACCAACTTTTACAGAATTACGATTCAGGTTGAATTTTCATTTTATTTAACGAAACGTGAAACGATTGTAATTTTATTAGATTAAATTGCACGGGGACAGAAGGATAAAAACATTCTTTAAAATTTAATGCAAGTATCTTGTATCAAACCAAACTAAAAAAAAAAGGTGCTTTTTCTCCAAACGTCTTTAAGGTCGTTATCGGTTTTTAATCGCTAAAAATAGTAACACGAAAGGTAAACAATTACACCAAAAGCATTTTTTTTTTTAAATGTATGAAAAATCTATACTAGATCTAGTGGCGTCGCTAGGTCGGGTGTCGCACGGTGCGGCACATCAAGGTCTCACCTCCTAAAGAAAAAAAATATGATACACACACACACACATACACACATACACACACACACACACACATATATATATATATATATATATATATATATATATATATATATATGTATATATATATATATGTAGGCCTACATATATAGCTGCTATTGGCGTCACCCGTCTCATTTTGCCTAGTTGCGTTTATTTGTGCAAACTTTATATTAAACCACCTATTAATTGATTAGGGGAAAAAAACATCGTGTTCATAGTAAATTATTAGATTTGGTGTCACCCCCTCCCCGACCTTCAATTGACTTATTAGCTATTGTAAATATTCAACACATATTTTTTTTTCTCTTTAAGTTTGTAGTTGCTGTCACCCCACCCCCTCCCACGTGATAGCACTAACTAACACATCTGGATGTAGCATTGGTTTCTCTTTAGTTAAAGAGTTTCTTCCAAGCATCCCCCCCCCCCCCCGAACGAAATGAAATTTATATAATTTATATAGAAAATATATACTTTTGACAGTGTCCGCCCCCCCCCCGAACAAAGTCTACCGCACCCCCGAAAATTTCAAGTGCCCCCCCCCCCCCCGGAGAAAAAAAGTCTGGAAGAAACACGGCTTTAGTTAGCAAGTTCATATCATGGTGTGTCCCGTCCCTTTTGTTGAAATCGTCAATTTGTACTTATTAAGGCTTTTTAACTCTAATTAATAAATAATTTAGCTACAAAAAGCAATTTTCTTTTTATTTAATTTGCATTTTTTGCCTTGGTGTCACCACCCCCCCCCCCCCACCTAAAATGGTGTCACCTATACGGTCCGCACTCTTGCCCCCGCCTCACGACGCCTCTGTCAAAATCAACAAACAAATTTGGTTACGTTTACTTTAAGATATAACTTCTAGCCGTATCTATATTCATAGATTATATAAGTAGAGCTCCTGCTTGATTATAAGTTTCGATTGTCAGCTTTACATTGTCTGATCATCCCCAAAATGTGTTGTTTGAATGGATAAACCAGACAAACCCTCGCTGTTTAAAGCCCCCCCCCCCCCCCATCATGCCGTTATCTTTTGTCGGGACGGAGTTCTATCGGCGAGAAAGCCGCGAGTAACAACAAAATCTGGATCAAGTGGTAAACAGAGCAGACGACACAACAAGCAATTTGTCCGGCGCGAAATCTGATGATTGGAGGCTTGGGTAGTGAGCTCCAATCGGTCGGGTTTACTGTCGGAGACCTAATGAGACCATTCGTAACCAGCTCTGCGCATGCGCACATGGTGGTCAAGGATGATAACTGCTTTAAAACGAGAGGAGGCTGGGGCAGGGATTTAGTAATTAATATTACTATGAGTGTTCCTAAAGGAGTACTGGGGGGGGGGGGTACTTACACATACTTACACATACTCATATATATTTACATATAGCCTATATACACGGATGTATATATATGTTACGATCAAATTCCGAAGTGCCGCCAATGCTTTGCAATGGCTAGCCAAAGCGCGCATTGGCCGGCTATCTTGGCCAAAGTTAGAAGATCTAACATTTTCATACGTTTGACGGCCAATACGAATACCTGCAGTTATTTCCTAATCAATGTCCAATGAACGTATGCACGAACTGGCTGGGACGCCATGGCCGAACTGTAGGGAAGACTTCTCGTTTCGAACTACCCTATTTGTCTAGATAAGTGAGACGTTCTGTCAATATGTCTGTTTTCTTAAAGTCTGTCTATCCATGCTGTGTTTGTCTTACTGTCTTCTTGTTGTTCTCTTGTCTGTTTTCTTGTCTGTCTTTCAGCATTGATGGTTTCGCGGTTAGCCCCACCTCCCACCCCACCCCACCCCTGATGTTGATGCTGAAAATTTGATTTTAATGCACTGCTGTCAGCTGTCAACGGTTTTACGCTACATTAGGGTCAGTGGTTTTAGAATGGCATGCGTAAGATCGTGGCTTACATTTACAAAACACAGCCAGAATGTCACGTCAAGGCGTATGTCACGGCGAGAAGCATGTCACGTGATGAAGCATGTCACGGCGAGAAGCATGTCACATTGAGTAATATGTCACGACGAGAAGCATGTCACGTCAAGAGGTAAAACTAGAGTAAGTTTTCAGTCAAGGCTAAAATTAGAAGCTGTGAAATGTATTTAAAGTCGTTGTACGCACATACAATAATTGCTGCATTTTTAAACCGTGGAAAAAAATTAAGCTAATGGAGGTTTTTTTTTTAAATTTAAAGATTTTATTGTTACTAAAATGTTACATTTACATTTGATTCGAGTGATATTTGAAAATTACTATAAAATATAACTTAGCAATTTTCTTAAATAAAGAAAAAGGAGTTCTGTATTTTCTGTAAAGACAATGCAAAGCACGGCGCTTTATTAGATAACACTAGAGATAGCAATTACTCTAAGCCTTTTCGATGCAAAGTTTTCACAATATTTTTTCTTTTAAAAGATTTTAGTTTTAAGTTTAAAATTAGTTGGAATCAACAAGTCAACACTCCAGTCCACGTTTCAGTCAATGTTCCACATTTAGGCACATATATGTGCGGAAAAGAAGTGGCAAATGTTGGACAAGTAGAACATGTTGGACAAGTAGAACATGTTTGACATGTAGAACATGTTGGACATGTAGAACATGTTGGACATTAGAACATGTTGGACATGTAGAACATGTTGGACATGTTGGACATGTAGAACATGTTGGACATGTAAAACATGTTGGACATGTAGAACATGTTGGACATGTAAAACATGTTGGACATGTAGAACATGGTGGACATGTAGAACATGTTGGACATGTAGAACATGTAGAACATGTAGAACATGTTGGACATGTTGGACATGTAGAACATGTTGGACATGTTGGACATGTAGAACATGTTGGACATGTTGGACATGTAGAACATGTTGGACATGTTGGATATGTTGGACATGTAGAACATGTTGGACATTTTGGACAAGTAGAACATTTTGGACATGTTGGATATGTAGAACATGTTGGACATGTTGGATATGTAGAACATGTTGGACATGTAGAACATGTTGGACATGTAGAACATGTTGGACATGTTGGATATGTTGGACATATTGGACATGTAGAACATGTTGGACATGTTGGACATGTAGAACATGTTCGATATGTTGGGCATGTTGGACATGTTGGACATGTTGGACATGTTGGATATGTTGGACATGTAGAACATGTTGGACATGTTGAACATGTTGGACAAAGGCTATGGAAGCAAATCCAAAAAGAAAAGCAGGCTGAAATCGGAGTCAATGGCCTCAATGGCGCATAACCAGTTGACACGTAACGCTTAATTGTGTTGGAGGCGTGGTCGAGTCGGCAAAAAGCTCATGGTTAATAAATTCGAACAAAGTCTCGAGTTCAAACCCACTGGCAGATAAATCTCGATCCCCTTCAACACTAATAATTAAGAACGAAGAAGAAGAAGAAGAAGGACAAGTAGAACATGTTTGACATGTAGAACATGTTGGACATGTAGAACATGTTGGACATTAGAACATGTTGGACATGTAGAACATGTTGGACATGTTGGACATGTAGAACATGTTGGACATGTAAAACATGTTGGACATGTAGAACATGTTGGACATGTAAAACATGTTGGACATGTAGAACATGGTGGACATGTAGAACATGTTGGACATGTAGAACATGTAGAACATGTAGAACATGTTGGACATGTTGGACATGTAGAACATGTTGGACATGTTGGACATGTAGAACATGTTGGACATGTTGGACATGTAGAACATGTTGGACATGTAGAACATGTTGGACATTTTGGACAAGTAGAACATTTTGGACATGTTGGATATGTAGAACATGTTGGACATGTTGGATATGTAGAACATGTTGGACATGTAGAACATGTTGGACATGTAGAACATGTTGGATATGTTGGACATGTTGGACATGTTGGACATGTTGGATATGTTGGACATGTAGAACATGTTGGATATGTTGGACATGTAGAACATGTTGGATATGTTGGACATGTAGAACATGTTCGATATGTTGGACATGTTGGACATGTTGGACATGTTGGACATGTTGGATATGTTGGACATGTAGAACATGTTGGACATATTGGACATGTTGGATATGTTGGACAAGTTGGACATGTAGAACATGTTGGACATGTTGGACATGTAGAACATGTTGGACATGTAGAACATGTTGGACATGTTGGACATGTTGGACATGTTGGACATGTAGAACATGTTGGACATGTTGGACATGTTGGACATGTTGGATATGTTGGACATGTAGAACATGTTGGACATATTGGACATGTTGGATATGTTGGACAAGTTGGACATGTAGAACATGTTGGACATGTTGGACATGTAGAACATGTTGGACATGTAGAACATGTTGGACATGTAGAACATGTTGGACATGTTGGATATGTTGGACATATTGGACATGTAGAACATGTTGGACATGTTGGACATGTAGAACATGTTCGATATGTTGGGCATGTTGGACATGTTGGACATGTTGGACATGTTGGATATGTTGGACATGTAGAACATGTTGGACATGTTGAACATGTTGGACATGTTGGACATGTTGGATATGTTGGACATGTAGAACATGTTGGATATGTTGGACATGTTGGACATGTTGAACATGTTGGATATGTTGGACATGTAGAACATGTTCGATATGTTGGACATGTTGGACATGTTGAACATGTTGGATATGTTGGACATGTAGAACATGTTGGATATGTTGGACATGTAGAACATGTTGGACATGTTGAACATGTTGGACATGTTGGATATGTTGGACATGTAGAACTTGTTGGACATGTAGAACATGTTGGACATGTAGAACAGAGGCACATGTTGGACATGTAGAACTTGTTGGACATGTTGGACATGTTGGACATGTAGAACATGGACATGTAGGACTGAGGCACATGTTTGGCTTCCTGAATGAATTTGAGACATCCGAATAATGGAATGAGAATACTTTTTTAAACCTGGAATCGACAATTTTTTCCCAATTTAATTATGTAATTAAATTGAAAAATGGCTGTAAATTGTGCTAGTGGAAAGTTATTTTTAGAGCAGGCATGGTACAGCAATAGAGGTACCACATACACTCAGTGTGACAACAGCAGTACCACAACAGTGGTACCACATACACTTAGTACGACAACAGTGGTACAACATACACACGCTACAACAACAGTGGTACAACAAACACATGGTACAACAACAGTGGTACCGTACCACAATAGTGGTACAACATACACATGGTACAACAACAGTGGTACAACATACACACGCTACAACAACAGTGGTACAACAAACACATGGTACAAGAACAGTGGTACCGTACCACAAGAGTGGTACAACATACACATGGTACAACAACAGTGGTACAACATACAAACGATACAACAACAGTGGTACAACAAACACATGGTACAACAACAGTGGAACCATATTTGATTAATTACAGAGGATTGGGTTGCGGTAAGTATTTTATCTATTTTAAGAGGCAATTTTCTGAGAAGGGTGGTTTTATTGTAGTACGTTTTTTTTGACACAGGTAAGTTAAATAGAAGTACCTTCAAGGCAGATGAAGTAGAGTTACTGAAACAATTCTAAGCTCCTGCTTTGACGAAAGCCAATTATTTTTAGATAATTACACACTTTTACTGTGGGTTGTGTGGTCGACTGGTAGACCGCACGAAAGCTAACTGAAAGTGTCCCTGAATTAAGACGGGGAAAACACAATTCACGAGCCTCGCTGTTTCACACACTCACTTCATATTACTGATCAACTCTACTTCACCTGTCCTTACGAATCTCACGGGCTTAAAGCATATCCTTATTTAGTAAAAAGTGGATGTAAGGCCTAGAACAAAAACAAATCGTGTTACTGGGGAAGAAGCGTAACAAAAATGTGTAACAATCTGTGAGGCAAAAGGGTTGGGAAAGTGTAACAAACATTCTTTACGGTTAGTAAATACGGGGTGGTGGGGAAGTGGTCAAGACATTTTTTTTTACAATTATTGAGAGGGTAAAGTGTAAGAACAAACACAAGCACGAGGGCCGTACTGTACAGCTGTTGAGGGGGGGGGGGGGAGAGGGTGTAACAACAATCACAAGTACGAGGGCCGTACAGTACAGCTGTTGAGGGGGGGGGGAGGGTGTAACAACAATCACAAGCACGAGGGCCGTACAGTACAGCTGTTGAGGGGGGGGGGAAGAGAGGGTGTAACAACAATCACAAGCACGAGGGCCGTACAGTACAGCTGTTGAGGGCACGCTTCTAGCGCTAACTCGGACAATCAATAAGCAATTTTTATAGGCGGTCTCACAGCACTAATAAAGGAAACTGGTTACGTGGAGACAAGAATAGACCATCTTTGTCTTACACATTAGGCCGCTCATCCTTGGGCGGTCACCCAGTTTCTGAACATGTGACCTTCACCTTTAAAGCTGCACTCACAACATATTGCTATTGCTTTGCCCCCCCCCTCCCTATGCCACGTGACAAACACATACAATCTCCCCAGACTGACCACTACCAACCACATACAATCTCTATAGACTGATCTCTACCAACCACATACAATCTCCCTAGACTGACCGCTACCAACCACATACAATCTCCCTAGACTGACCACTACCAACCACATACAATCTCCCTAGACTGACCGCTACCAACCACATACAATCTCCCTAGACTGACCACTACCAACCACATACAATCTCCCTAGACTGACCACTACCAACGACATACAATCTCCATAGACTGACCACTACCAACCACATACAATCTCCCCAGACTGACCGCTACCAACCACATACAATCTCCATAGACTGACCACTACCAACCACATACAATCTCTCTAAACTGACCACTACCTACCACATACAATCTCCCGAGACTGACCACTACCTACCACATACAATCTCCCTAGACTGACCACTACCAACCACATACAATCTCTCTAAACTGACCACTACCAACCACATACAATCTTCCTAAACTGACCACTACCAAACACATACATCTTCCTAGACTGACCACTACCAAACACATACAATCTCCCTAGACTGACCACTACCAACCACATACAATCTCCCTAGACTGACCACTACCAACCACATACAATCTCCCCAGACTGACCGCTACCAACCACATACAATCTCCATAGACTGACCACTACCAACCACATACAATCTCTCTAAACTGACCACTACCTACCACATACAATCTCCCTAGACTGACCACTACCAACCACGTGACAACACTGACCTTCAGCTTGACCTCCACCAAACACAACCTCTACCCTAACCTACCCCCATATCCCATAATTCTCGCCCACGCCACCATAACGTCATTAACGTTTTGTAATTAGTTCTCTCCCCTCCCCTAGAGTATTGGCCTAATTCTACTTCATAATTTACCCCGCCCATGACATTAATAAAGAAAAAAAAACGTTTTATTTTCTCTCTTCATTGTGCCATAAAATACCACACAAAGAAAAAAGTTCCAGTTTCTTGCAAACATTTATTTACAGGCAAATATTCCACTCTTGCGCAAGCAGACGATCACCCATTAACTAACACCAGCAGCCAATTTCTGCTGCTCTTTGTGCACATTTCGCGGCAAGATGTAGACTGACAGGAATTTTAATGACGTCACAAACTTTGAGGCCGTCTGCAGGGATTCGTCACCGGAAGTTAGAGTGCTGAGTTGACAAAATTGATCGCAGACTTTCCCGCCATTTTGGGGTTTTCTCTAGCAAGTGACATAAACTTAATTTTTTTAGACTTTAAAAAATTAATTAACGAAACGTTAATGAAAGTTAATTATTAATGTTTAATTAACTCAATAAACTTCAGTTCAAATAGCCAAAAATATATATGAACGTGTCTTTAAATAAGTCTTAGTCTTAGCCTCACTTAACTAATTTTTTTTTTCTTTTTTATATATGAAAACGACATAGAAAAAAAATTCTTAAACATTTTTCTGGTTTCTGAGTTATGTGTATCCAGTTATATTTTAAAACCTCTAAGTTAACTTAAAATGTAACTCGAAATTTAATTAGATTTTCGAACATCAATTTAAGTAGAAATTTAACTAGAAATTTAGCTAGAAATTTAATAAGAAAGTTAGCTTGAAATTTTGTTAGAAATTTAACTGAAATGAGATCGAGATTTTGATAAGAGATTCTATTTAAAAATTAAAATAAATTTTGATCAGAAATTTGATCATCTATTTGATCAGAAATTCGATCAACTATTTGATCAGAAATTTGATCAGCTATTTGATCACAAATTTGATCGATTATTTGGTCAGAAATTCAATCAGCTGTTTGATCAGAAATTGGATCAACTATTTGACCAGATATTTGATCAGAAATCTGGCCAGAGACTTGCCAGATTTACCCACGCCGAAGTGCCGTCTCACCAACAAGTTTCATTAGGTCACCATAACGCCGGGCCAATAGCTGGTGTCAACACCAGTTTTGTCCACATCCGGCCCTCACATAACTCTCCACATCCGCCCCCCCCCCCCGCCCCCACAATTCACTGAGACATCCCCCCCCCCCCCCCCACCCTCGGAGTTAGTTGACCTCCACCCACATTTTTTAGTCGTAATACCCAGGCACGGCATTTAAAATAATTCTTTAACTAGTATTATAGATTTGTTGTTTTAAAATACTAATAGTAGAAAGAATGATAGTAAAGTATACAAAGCAGATATTAATGATATAGTCAATGCTTAATACTGTCGTCTAGGCAGATGGATATAAATGGCATCATTCTATCGAATGTATTGGGGATCTAATGACCAAAATAGCAGATATTATAAACGTGTGTTTACTTACGTGTTAGTTTTGGAGGTAATTAGTGCAACGTCACCACATCATACACTAACTCAGGTTCAATGTCTAAGAGTAACTTGAGTTCACAACAACCTACCTATCCACCTCACCCCAACCACCTACTTATCCACCGCCCCTCTCCACCTACCTACCTTCCCACCCCGCCCCAACCATCTACCTACCGCCCCTGCCGCAACCACCTACCTACCTACCGCCCCTGCTCCAACCACCTACCAACCCACACCGCCCCAACCACCTACCTACCCACAGCGCCCCAACCACCTACCTATCGACCCCACCCCAAACACCTACCTACCTACCTACCTACCACCGCCCCAACCACCTACCTACCCACAGCGCCCCAACCACCTACCTACCGCCCCTCCCCAACCACCTACCCACCCCCCAACTACCTACTTACCTATCGCCCCTCCCCCAAATCATCTACCTACCCACCCCGACCACCTACCTACCGCCCCTCCCCCAACCACCTACCTACCCACCCCGCCCCAACCACCTACTTACCTATCGACCACGCCCCAACCACCTACATACCCACCCTTCCCCCAACCACCTAACTACCGCCCCTCCCCAACTACTTACCTATCGACCACGCCCCAGCCACCTACATACCCACCCCTCCCCCAACCACCTAACTACCGCCCCTCCCCCAACTACTTACCTATCGACCACGCCCCAACCACCTACATACCCACCCCTCCCCCAACCACCTAACTACCGCCCCTCCCCCACCTACCTACCAACCGGCCCTCCCACAACCACCTACCTACCCCCCGCCCCCCCCCCCCCCCCCCAATGCAGTTGACACCACTTCCCTTAGTGCGCCATCTTGTCCACGGCGAGTGCCAGTCAGGCGAGCATGGAGTGGCCAGATAAAGGCGACAAGACGAAGCCACACCGCGGCATTAATCAACCGGGCTCTGTAATTTCCCGCGGAGCGCTTTATTCCAGAGGGCAGACAGATGGAGCATGGCCGGGGCGGGGGCGGCATCGGAGACCTCCAGGGGTCAGCTGCAACACTGATCTAACTCGCACAAACTCGTTCGGCCCAAGTGATCCACACGAGCAGGGGGGAGAGTGAAACTACCTGACGACAAAGTGGATCCCATCTATGTAGATTTCTTTCATTTCACCGGATGGTTAGATAATTAGGATAATTAATCTGTTTTGGATTCTTAACGGATCTGATGATGTTTGGCACAGGTAAGTTTTTTTTCCCCACCGCTATTTTAAAATGTAAACTAACTATCACGCTTTTTGGTTCATGGTTTTTTTTTCTCCGTGTTGATTAAAGTTAAGAAAAAAAATAGACCAAAAAAGTTTCGGGGTACTTGTTTAGCTTCGTGATCAATTCTATTTTAGCCCGAGCAAATTGGTCTTGGCCGGATCAATCAGGCTTAACATTTGATCCAGTCGTTTATTTTCGTGACCAATTGATAATTCCGGCCGCCTTTAATGGTACGATTAGAGAGTTTTCTTCATCCATGATTATGTGTTCAACGGCTCGATGATTTATTTGCTTGATGTCATACTTATGTATTACGCAACGGCTTTTTTTAAAAAAAAACTTTAAAGAGCTGAACAAAACATATATATCTTCAAAGCTGGAAAAATATCACTTTAAAAAACGATTGGTGTTTTTGAAATATTTTTGTTTTTGCCGTTGTTATTGTTGTTTAAGTGCATAAAGGATGTAGGTAACTTTTATTCGTTACATAAGACAGCTATTGTTTGACTGGTTGAATTGCCACTAAATATTTAGTAACTTGTACGTAACAGCAAGACCTGTTCAAGCATATCTTTCTTACACACTATATGATGTTGAGTAGTTCTAATGCACGCACACACATGTTACTGGGAGAGGGGGGGGGGGTAACTCGTATTTTGATAGACAGAAGAATGTCAGTTATAACAAGTGTTCAATACACATCAAATATGGATGGTATAACAAATTTTGTTACAGAACATTTTTACATTCTCGTATACAGAGAATAGACGAGGTATTGTTATCGTGCACACAATCAAGTGAAATGTTGAGAGTTCTTACACCTGCGTACTTTGTCAAGTATGGATGTCTTATTGTTATCATGTAAAAACAGCTATATCAAGACTTAATAAAATCTCGATGTTTTACTCGTCCGCGTGTCGGAAAAACTAGGTTTTGTAATTTTGTCCGTTTGTCTGTGTGTGTGTGTGTGTGTGCATGCGTGTTTGTGTGCGTATGTGTGTGTGTGTGTCTATGAACACGATAACTTGAGTACCTTTCTAGTTATGTTGAAGCCATTTAATATATAATTATTTTATCAAATTTGTAGTTTTCTATTAGATTTTGAGCGATTTCAGGTAACCTGAATTGGTACTTACTCTACTCTCGGCTTTTTATAAGCCAATAACATGACTACTGTTTAAGCTAGGTGAACAAAAATAAACCTTATAATGTAAGTAGTACATTGTATGTATCGGTTTCTAATGCCTTCTGAACGATATAAGAAAACCAGAAGTGGTACTTCAGTGGGGATGCGATAACTTGAGTGGACGAAATTTCACACCTATGATCTTATACTTGGATTACTTAAAATTTTTAAGTGATATCCGATATGATACTTTATTTTTTGTATCTACCGATAACTGGAGTACCTTTTCAGCTACGTGGAAGAAATTTCATACACATATATATGATCATATTCACTGGTTTCTGTTATATTTAGATGGATATCCGGTGAATGCAGTAGTACTAAGTTAGTTCCCATTTCTCAAAAAACCATTAGAAATTATTTCACTGGATTCTTCTGTCTATCATCCGTCTTGGGTGGAAACTTGCGAGCAAAATTTCGACCATTTCAAACGGACCGTTTTCTTTCTGTTTCTGATGAATTGTAGATCAGGTTAGACTAGTCCAGGAGTCAGGGTATAGCGTCTGTGAGTTGAGTTCACCCCGTGTGTTAATGTATTGTTATCCCCAAGGTCGGGTGTCTGTATAAAGCGGCGTGAACGATTGTGAGGGGGTCTTATCAGAGGCGTAGCGAGGGGGGGCGGGGGTGGACGACAAATGTCCCCGGGCGCCGACCTTAGGGGGCGCCAAAATGGGTTGGAAAAATAAATTGGAAACTTTGGGGGGGGTGGGTGCAAATCGAAAATTTGAGAGGGGGGGTGCAAATCGAAATCTTGAGGGGGTGGGGTGCAAATCGAAAGTTTGTCCCCGGGCGCCGGGAAGGGTCGCTACGCCTCTGGGTCTTATATATGGTTAGGTAGCTGGTTGAAGGTTGTTGACATAAAATGCGACTTAATTAGATATTTAATTATCTTTTTAAAAATAAATGTGTTTTCTTATGTGATTAAAATATAGTTTTGTAACACAGAGGGATAAAATATAGTTTTGTAGCATGTTTTGTAATGGAAATAATTCAAGTTTTTAGCATATTTCGTAATGGGGATAAAATATAGTTTTGTAGCATGTTTTGTAATGGAAATAATTCAAGTTTTTAGCATATTTCGTAATGGGGATAAAATATAGTTTTGTAGCATATTTTGTAATGGAAATAATTCTAGTTTTTAGCATATTTCGTAATGGGGATAAAATATAGTTTTGTAGCATGTTTTGTAATGGAAATAATTCAAGTTTTTAGCATATTTCGTAATGGGGATAAAATATAGTTTTGTAGCATATTTTGTAATAAAAATAATTCTAGTTTTTAGCATATTTCGTAATGGGGATAAAATATAGTTTTGTAACATGTTTTGTAATGGAAATAATTCAAGTTTTTAGCATATTTCGTAATGGGGATAAAATATAGTTTTGTAGCATGTTTTGTAATGGAAATAATTCAAGTTTTTAGCATATTTCGTAATGGGGATATAATATAGTTTTGCAACATGTTGCGTGAAAAAAAAAAAACGCGTCAATAATAGATTTAGAGACACGCTTTGTCCTAAAAAAATGTTTCAGTGAAACGATAATGTCGCTCTGAAATGAATTAAAACTAATTTTTGTGTCAAATCCAGTCCATTTTTAAGGCGCGGGAAACTCTCGCCAGAGGCACTGTTCAAAAGGTCAACCTGAACATTTTTTAATAACACGTGTCAAAGGGGAAATTGTAAAGCCAAATGTCAATGGTTTTTTTTTTTCAATTTTTGAAACTCGATTAACGTTAATCTAATGACAAATACCGTTCGCAATTTACTTGTTGTGACGTTGTGAAGTCGCTAAATAACGAGACAAAGTTGTATGTGGTTTAGTAACACCGGGATGTGGGCTATCCACACACCTGGATGTGGTCTAGCCACACCTGGATGTGGTATAGCAACACCTGGATCTGGGCTATCCACACACCTGGATCTGGTCTAGCCACACACCTGGATGTGGTCTAGCCACACACCTGGATGTGGTCTAGCCACACACCTGGATGTGGTCTAGCCACACACCTGGATCTGGTCTAGCCACATACGTGGATGTGGTCTAGCCACACACCTGGATCTGGTCTAGGCACACACCTGGATGTGGTCTAGCCACACACCTGGATGTGGTCTAGCCACACACCTGGATCTGGTCTAGCCACACACCTGGATGTGGTCTAGCCACACACCTGGATCTGGTCTAGCCACACACCTGGATGTGGTCTAGCCACACACCTGGATCTGGTCTAGCCACACACCTGGATGTGGTCTAGCCACACACCTGGATCTGGTCTAGCCACACACCTGGATGTGGTCTAGCCACACACCTGGATGTGGTCTAGCCACACACCTGGATCTTGTCTAGCCACACACCTGGATCTGGTCTAGCCACACACCTGGATGTGGTCTAGCCACACACCTGGATCTTGTCTAGCCACACACCTGGATCTTGTCTAGCCACACACCTGGATCTGGTCTAGCCACACACCTGGATCTTGTCTAGCCACACACCTGGATCTGGTCTAGCCACACACCTGGATCTTGTCTAGCCACACACCTGGATCTTGTCTAGCCACACACCTGGATCTTGTCTAGCCACACACCTGGATCTGGTCTAGCCACACACCTGGATCTTGTCTAGCCACACACCTGGATCTTGTCTAGCCACACACCTGGATCTTGTCTAGCCACACACCTGGATGTGGTCTAGCCACACACCTGGATGTGGTCTAGCCACACACCTGGATGTGGTCTAGCCACACACCTGGATGTGGTCTAGCCACACACCTGGATCTTGTCTAGCCACACACCTGGATCTTGTCTAGCCACACACCTGGATCTGGTCTAGCCACACACCTGGATCTTGTCTAGCCACACACCTGGATCTGGTCTAGCCACACACCTGGATGTGGTCTAGCCACACACCTGGATCTTGTCTAGCCACACACCTGGATCTTGTCTAGCCACACACCTGGATGTGGTCTAGCCACACACCTGGATCTTGTCTAGCCACACACCTGGATCTGGTCTAGCCACACACCTGGATCTTGTCTAGCCACACACCTGGATCTTGTCTAGCCACACACCTGGATCTTGTCTAGCCACACACCTGGATCTGGTCTAGCCACACACCTGGATCTTGTCTAGCCACACACCTGGATCTTGTCTAGCCACACACCTGGATCTTGTCTAGCCACACACCTGGATGTGGTCTAGCCACACACCTGGATGTGGTCTAGCCACACACCTGGATCTTGTCTAGCCACACACCTGGATCTGGTCTAACCACACCTGGATCTGGTCTAACCACACACCTGGATGCGGTCTAGCCACACCTGGATCTGGTCTAGCCACACACCTGGATCTGGTCTAGCCACACACCTGGATGTTCTCTAGCCACACACCTTGATGTGGTTCAACCACACACCAAGACGTAAGCTAGCCACAGCAAAAAAATAAATCACACGACCAGCTGTCAGACTCACCCACAAAGCTGTGTGGGTACCAACACAGTACTATGAGTACTATGCCTTCTATTAAAAAATAATAAATTAGCTAATATGTTTAAGAGATATCATTAGCTGCCACTTATTTTTATAAAGAAAACTAGTTTAAAATAATATATTTTCAGTACATATAAAACCTTTTAATCATACAAGGCTTTTTAAAACATTTTTACCGTTTAAGAAATTTTGAATTAAAAAATTGTTAAATAGTAAGTCGATATTAAAGTTTTAAAAACGAATCAACCGCTGGAATTATTTGCTTTAAACCTGATCGTCAATTTACGATTTTTAGCAGCAAAAGAC